TGTGTGTGTGTGTGTGTGTGTGTTGTGTGTGTGTGTGTGTGTGTGTGTGTGTGTGTGTGTGTGTGTGTGTGTGTGTGTGTGTGTGTGTGTGTGTGCGGTGCCCATTACAGTTGATGGACACCGCACACAGGTAGACACACACGTCTCTGAAATAGCCCGAACACGAATAGCCGCAAAGTCAAGAGAATGGCCCCCACCAGCTGTCCCCAAAAACACTTGTCATCTTTACCGCAGACTTCGCATTTCCTTAGCCTATTTATTGTGAAGAATTTGCATTGCCATTCCGTCACCATCGTTCAGACGACCTCGGCGTACCCCACAGCCAGCACCATCACCTCATTTTCACGTGGGGGCGTATAAGGAACGCCAAGGGGGAGGACAAACAACAGAAGAAAGGCCAACAACCATAAAACTGATTGTGTGTGTGTGTGTGTGTGTGTGTGTGTGTGTGTGTGTGTGTGTGTGTGTGTGTGTGTGTGAGCGCGCGCTGCCTCCGCTGCGCCCTCGCCTGTGTGTGGACAGCGCACTTGTGAGAGTGTGTGTGTGTGTGTGTGTGTGTGTGTGTGTGTGTGCGCTGCCACCACTGCGCCCTCGCCCGCGCGCGGACAGCGCACTTGTGACAGTGTGTGTGTGTGTGTGTGCGTGCGGGCGCGTGGTGGGTGGCGGGGGGGTGGGGCGACCCCTCCCCCACCACTCAATCAATCAATCAATCAATCGATCAATCAACGGAAAAAAAAAAAAAGGCAAAATCGAACGAATCTTTCGCTACAACATAGAAATATACAACACTGTGTGTGTGTGTGTGTGTGTGTGTGTGTCTGTGTGTGCGTCTGTGGGGGGTGGGGGGGCGACCCCGCCCCCACCAATCAATCAATCAATCAATCAATCAATCAATCAATCAATCATATCAATCAATCAATCAATCAATCAACGGAAAAAAAAAAAGCAAAATCAAATGAATCTTCCGCTAGAACATGGGAATATACAATCCTACCTGTGTATGTGTGTGTGTGTGTGTGCGCCTGTGGGGCCAATCAATCAATCAATCAATCAATCAATCATTCATTCAAGGAATATTCGAGCTTCAGGGTCAGAGGCCTGGGTCAAGAAAGTCCAAGTCGGTCAGTTTCAGAAGAGTCACAGTCGGGTACCTTAAAGGTGAAATCCAACAGGCACCCGATGAACAGTCACATCCCAAGGGTAAAAGTCACGTCTCATATTAAAGAGTCATACTGAAAAGTCACATTCCACAGGCAAAGGACAGTTTCCCAGGCAAGAGTCGTGTCCCAGATCGGCCGCGCTTGTCCGCCGCCGACAGTGTTTCATAGAAACCAACATTATGACTGACTCGCCCCTCCTCACCTTTCTCCTGACCTTGATGGTCCAGGAGTTACATTAACCTATTGATAAAACCACTGAGTGCATAACTCCAAATTCCTCATCCCACTCCGTGACATTTCCTTAAACGTATCAAATTCAGGTCCTTCTTACCCCTCAGGTTTGACTACTTCCTCCACCTCTTCCTCGTAACTAGTACCGCTAGCTTGGCAAGGATCTCCTCAAACCTTTCGCTTTTCCTCTTCTTGTCCTCGACCATCCTCGCCCTCACAACCTCTTGTCATGTCGCATCGCTCGTCTTGGTGCTCTTTTGCTGGTGAGGTCCAGTCGTGTTGCTTCTTCCCTTCCGCTTTCTCCTCCTCGGCTTACTCGTACCAATGGTTTTTTTCTATCCCTCTGGTTATATGTGGGCCCAAAATTATAATCCATGGCCAATCTCCTCCCCTGTTTCTTTGGAGCGCCCCTCGTGACTAACCTACCTCTTTGTTCAGTATGTCAACCCATCCGCCGTCACTCTCAGCTTCCCCTTTTTCTAAGTCGTTTAGTTGTTTCTATCATTCCTTCCCGCCTTCACGACGAAGTCGGCCCAATGTTGGCTTCCTCCAGGTGGGTTCTCAACAAAGCTCGCTTACTTCCTCTTTCTCCATTGTTGAAAATTCTAGGTTGTTTAATGTCGTTATAACGCGTTGTCGGAGAGCGGCGCGCCGCGTCAACGTATAGTTGACTCGTCGCGGCCAGCCTCCGCACCATAGGGTTGCTTGTGGTCACGATCAGCAGAATGTTGACACACTGGTTTGGCCCTTGGGTCGAGTCAGCGGACAAGACGGCGCGACGGTCCATCCCCATGGAGATCGAATCACGGCTTTTGGGCTGAACCGCCGCGTCTGCAAGGGCCAGATTAGTAGGGCCCGGTCCAAACGGTACTGAAAACGGACCAGGGGTTAGTGAGAAAAATAGAATTGACCACTTGGGACCGGACTAACCGCGTCGGGAAGAGTACGGCCCGAAATGGTCAAGGGGAATACGGGATTGGGCCCCTTATTATGATTAAGAGGGGTGTTTTATTTTTAAAAAAACAAGGCCGACCCTTAGTATTCCAAAGTCGGGCCAGCCCAAGCCCGACACTAATTTTAACATTGGGCTGTGCTATTTTTAGCGTTGGTTGCGCTATTAATGGCGCAGCCCTGAGTTATTTTAAGCGCAGGCTCGAGCTAAATATAGCGCAGGCCCACACTATTTTTAGCATGGGGCTGACTGTCCGTATCCCAAGGTCGGGGCTGTCCCAAGTCCCGCGCTATTTTTAGCCAAGTCCCGCGTTATTTTTAGCGCAGTCCCGTGCTAATTTTAGCACAAGCCTGCGCTATATTTAGCGCAGGCTCGTACTATTTTTAACACGGGACTGACTGTTCGTGTTCCGAAGTCGGGACTGTCCCAGCCCCGTGCTAATTTTAGCGCAGTCCCGCGCTAATTTTAGCCAGGCCCGCGCTATATTTAGCGCAGACCCGTGCTATTTTTAACACGGGACTGACTGTTCGTGTCCCAAAGTCGGGACTGTCCCAGTCCTGTGCTAATTTTAGTGCAGTCCCGC